AATTATGGGAAGTAACATGACCATGAAATCTACCAGTTTGCCCGGTAGCTAGCTAGCTAACTAGCTAGCTAGGCTACTGTTAGCTAACGCTAGCTAGTAAAAGCGTGGCTGCTGCCTTCCTAAAACGTATATTAGCTACAGTATAAACGTTCATTCACACAACATCACAGTTTCATCTGGACCCAAATATTATGAACAATAACATCTAAGAGTGTCATCTAAAGAAGCACTCAGTTAATTTGACCGTAACATGTTTTGTGCTAAAGTTAGCTATCTGAGCTAGTTGAGGCTAGCACTAGCAGGCTAACAATAATATATAGTGTTATATCAGTTAACGCTAACAAGTTCCATTTCCATTCATTCCGGGTTATGCGGAATCGAGACAATCCGACACACCATAATGTTGTTGTCTGTGGATTTGCTAGCTCCTCGGCAGTTGTAAACTATTGTCATTAAGTTGGAACCGCTTTGTTAACGTTAGCTTAGCAAGCGCTTACAGGAAAGGACCAAATCCGCTCGCCTGACAGGTCTCAACTCTATATTACGACTCATGGAAACATCAGAAGAAATGTGCTCTGTGTTACAAACAGTGCTATACACAGTTCTTCATGCACCGCAATATTGTAACCGTGCTTGATTCTAGTCATTGTAGTGTAAAACGAGCTGATGTAACCATGCATATGAGCAAAATATTTGTTGTAATATCTACCAAAATCTTAACCATTTATTGCACTATTTGTGCATCAAGCAACAGTATTTTGGATCCTCTTAAAATATCTGTAACCCTACTATATAAGGCAACAAATCTGTTTCCTCTATGGAGTCATGACACAACAGAACCTCTGGCCAATGTTGGTTTTATTAACACACCGAACTATAAACTTTGCAACACTATACTTAGCTGCTTATATTTCGGTGTTTGGCTGATGCTGTCAGTGGGATGGATTAAGAAGAGGTCATTTTCAGCAGCTAGCACCTAAGATTGAAACTGCATCCTTCAACAGATGGCAAAGTAGAAGTGAGCAAGTCCCATTCGCCCTGTATTCACACGTGCAACATTGCCAAGGTGCCCACGGCAAAAAGTGAAGCAGAATTTAATGCATCAGAGGACTGTTGGATGAATAACAGATATGATTCTTGGTCTTAAATTAATGTTTTCCTTTTTTCTTTCAGGATTTTCCAATTCTGTGTCAGACATGTTTAGGAGAAAACCCTTACATCCGTATGGTGAGTTTACTTACTGTGCATCATAATGATTTGGACGATATTTTCTTGTGTTGATAACCAATCAGTGTGCAGGCTCAAATGTGTTCATGCTTTGTTTTATAGACCAAGGAGAAGTATGGTAAAGAATGCAAGGTATGTTTTGCAATAATATATTAAGTCTTTGTTATGCAGTTCACAGCGAAGTTTAGATTAAACCTGTGACACTATATTACAAGTTCACGTATGTATTCATTTATTTTCTTTCTTTGCCCGACAGATTTGTGCGCGGCCGTTTACTGTGTTCCGATGGTGTCCGGGGACACGAATGCGCTTCAAGAAGACGGAGGTCTGTCAGACCTGCAGTAAAATGAAGAATGTTTGTCAGACATGTCTTCTGGACCTGGAGTATGGTGAGTCTCTGCAACTAACTCCTTGTAATTTGTAATCGTCATTTGGCCTGTGTACATTTTCTTATTGAAGTATAAGTTTGTTTTACCCTCTTGTCACACCTTGTGTTTTACAGGTTTGCCTATTCAGGTCAGAGACACTGGGCTCTCAGTAAAAGATGAGGTTCCCAAGTCAGATGTGAACAAGGAGTACTACACACAGAACATGGAGAGAGAGGTAACATTGCTTTCTGATGCAGGCAAAAATGTGTGTTCTGTTTGTTGTGATACAGCTAAAAAAGCTAAAATTAACACTGAATTCTTCGTCCTCAATTTCAAGTCCTTAAATAGTGAGTATCTGGTCCAATATGTGTATTTCAAGAATTTCTGTTTCTTACAGAATAGGAACGGTTTTCAGGACAGGACATGCTTATTAAGTTGTTATGTATTTTTTTAAATGGTTTCTTTTTTTGGTCAATCCTTTGTGCTTATTTGGTCCTCTGTGTTACTAGATAGCCAATACTGATGGCACACGGCCAGTGGGCCAGTTGGGTAAAGCGCCCAGCTCGAGTGATATGTTGCTGAAACTGGCCCGCACCACTCCATACTACAAGAGGAACCGGCCGCACATCTGCTCCTTCTGGGTGAAGGGGGAGTGTAAGAGAGGGGAGGAGTGTCCCTATAGGTGAGCGACACTTCATGAAAAGGCCTGCAGCTGCAGTTCCTTGTTTTTTATGTATGAATTTGACATTATTTATTAATTACTTATTACCAAAGGGAATATAGAAATTGTTTTTTCTTGTGGTTCAGTTACTGTTGTCCTTTACACACACAGGCACGAGAAGCCCACAGATCCCGATGACCCTCTAGCCGACCAGAACATCAAAGACCGTTACTACGGCATCAATGACCCAGTAGCAGACAAGCTGCTGAAACGGGCCTCAACTATGCCCCGACTGGACCCACCCGACGACAAGTCTATCTCCACCCTCTACATCGGGGGTTTGGGAGATACCGTCACTGATGGAGAGCTCAAGTAAGAATACTTTTCCCCCTCTAACTACAATTGTACAACCCTCTGAGGCCTCATTTTGGGAATATAGTAGAATGTTCATTGTCATAAAAGGACTGATGGTACAGTTTTAAACCTTCCAACTTCCAGTGTTTTTGATCTATTGGACGTTCATCTGTTTTATTGCAGGAGTCACTTCTACCAGTTCGGTGAAATTCGCACCATTACCATAGTCCAGAGGCAGCAGTGTGCCTTCATCCAGTTTGCCACTCGTCAGGCAGCTGAAATGGCTGCTGAGAAGTCCTTCAACAAACTCATCATTAATGGACGCAGGCTCACTGTCAAGTGGGGAAGGTAAGAATCTAATCAAGAAGGTAAAAGTCAATCATACGGGCGCTTATCCCCAACCTGACCTCCAGACACTCGCTCATGCAGTCATGTATTCTGTAGATGCAACCAGAAAAACCTCATCCTGCCATCTGATCTCTTGGCTTTCATACAGTTACTGGAGCAGCATGGGAGGAGATGTGAAGATTTATAATGATAATTTGCTGATGAAACGCTTGATGATGTCCAGAGAACATGCGTTTGACAGTAACAGTTCCAGGCTGTTACTTTAAAACACACATGCTACCATTACAGTCAAAACTACTGACTGCGGTGCTTTTTAATATATTATCAGACGCTGTAAAAGAGCTTAAGGCTAAAGAATGTGTGCAGGACACCTTTCTTTTCATTCACATTGTTCAGTGATGTTAAACAAAGTGAGGTGATTATTATATACAGTATAACTTGTATTGTTGTTGTTTTAGGTCTCAGGCAGCAAGAGGGAAGGAGGGTATCAAAGATGGCATCAGTGAGATGGGCACCAGACTGGACCCTGTACCTGGACTGCCTGGAGGTGAGTCTGCACACACGGGGAGGTTTAGGATTGCTGTGTGTACTCGTAGTGACGCAGTCTGTAATGTTAACATAGTGTCATGAGTTTTCCTGCTCTCTCTGGTCATATATATATATATAT